AATAACCCGTATGGATTTAAATGAAACTGACTTGGCGAAACAAAAGGAATTGTCAGAAGGAATTGAAAAGCTTCTTGAGCAAGAGGAGGTATACTGGTCTCAACGTAGTAGGCTCAATTGGCTGAAGGTTGGGCACCGAAACACCACGTATTTCCAAAGCTATCATGAGGCATCACAGAAATAAGATTAAGAAATTGAAGGACGACCAAGGAATTTGGCAAGAGGGGCATGCTCAATTAAATCCTTTGGTTTCAAATTACTTCACAAACTTGTTCACCTCAGAGGTAGATGATATTGATCCTACTTTACTAGAGAAGGTGGTTCCACGGGTGAACCAGGCAATGGACGATAACCTGAACCAACCCTACTCAGCTGAAGATATGAAACGTGCTTTTTTCTATTGGGGATTTAAAGGCCCCTGGTAAGGACGGTCTTCATGTGGTGTTCTTTAAAAATATGTTGAAACATTTTGGGAGACTCTATTACAGAAGAGGTACTCCAAGCAATTAATCAAGAGGTTATTCCTGAAGCTTGGAACGATACTATTATCATTCTCATTTCGAAAATAGATGATCCAGAGAAGGTAACGCAATACAGGCCTATTAGTTTATGCACTATTTTATATAAAATTATTTCTAAGATGATTGTCATTCGGTTGAAGAGAATATTGGATGAAGTTATATCTCCTGTTCAAAGCGCCTTTGTTCCAGGACGCTTGATCACGGATAATATTTTGGTCGCCTAGGAGAGCATCCACACGACCAAAAATAAGAAGGGAAAATATGGCTATTGTGCAATCAAGTTAGATATGCATAAGGCATATGACATGGTGGAGCGGGTATTTCTTCAGAGAATGGTGATTTTGCCTGGGTTCCAACAGGAGTTTGTAGACCTTATGATGGCTTGTGTTTCATATGTTAAGTACAATGTGAGATTTAATGATCAGGAAACCGCACCCCATCTAGGGGACTCAGGCGGCGGGGGGGGGGGGCAGCTTTCACCATACTTATTTCACATCACGCACTCCAAATTTGGCGACTGTAGGAAATAATCGATGTTGAGGACACCAGCGCCACCCTACATGGCAACGACTGATCTAAGATTAGGTGTCAAAAATGACCAATCTAAGGTTCCCACCGAGAGCCTGAGGCCAAGGATGTGAAAATCTTTGTGACGGCACCCCCAAGGAGGAAAACGATGTACACGGACGCCGCTGGCGCATGCATCAACAAGGTTGTTGCTAGGTTTTCACTCAGATATGCACAACCCATCATACATGTTGTTGATGCAGCTCAACATCAAGCCCCAGTTGGAACAAGCATGCATTGGCCGAACCGAATAACGGGACGCCTAGGACCACCTTGCCAACCAACTAGGTCCGATATACCACCTATAATTGCTTGCCCGAGGACGCCAGCAAGAACATGCCAGCCCAACGCCAAAGGGGGAGCATCGTTAAACCTCTGCCACCGCCCACCAGAGTTGCTCGTCGATGATGCAACCCCGCCATTGTATGGAATGGTCGCCCATCATCAAACAAAAAAGTAAATGGTATATGTAAGATTCATAATTCTACTTATGCTTTCTCTCTCCAAAACACAAGGTGGTGGCAATTCGCCATATGAGTACACATAACTCTATTCTAAATCAAGCGCAGTTGTTTTGAGGACAATAATGCTAGGATGTAAGTACGGAACTGGATTGGAGCATTGAGACAACATCAACAATCGCATTCCACTCCATGGATTTCTCATTTTCACCGTGCCAACCTCACCCTACTCAATGCAATAATGAAGATGAGGGTTAGTGAATGAGAGGGTAGAGTTGATGACGAGGTGGTCGAGATAAATTATGACACCATTGGTGAGTTTCACAATATCAATGCTTCGCCACTTGTTCCTTCATACGTCTCCCAAAGGGGAGCCGACTTCCATTACATTTCATAACGAAACAACAACCCAAAGTACAAACAAAAAGCGAAAAGACAGCCCAAAAGAAGAAACATAAGAGAAACCACTAGACCTTAACTCCCCAAACAAGTACCATCAATCAAATGTACAAAAGGCAAATCCAAGTTTAAAAAAATCAAATGTACAAAAGGCAAATCCAAGGGGGGAAGGCAACATGGTTTCCAACATCTATTACCCAAAAGAAGAACAAACACATTTGAGTCACTTTTTTCGACATGAAACCATGACCTTGAACGCTAGTTATTCTCTTTTTTAGAGTATATAGAACCCATCACATTATAAAGAGAGTTCCAATACATCAGACATAAACACACAGCTGGTAGTCAAGCCATATATAAACTAAATAGTACTCCTGTTTCATATTAGTTGTTGTTGATTCAATACAAATTTAATACAAAATTATATTAAATCAACGACAACTAATATGAAACAGAGAGACTACATCTTAACCATCAAAAACAGATGGATAACTGCATGATAGCGAGCTCCATTAGAAGACATGCAGCAACACGAGCAACAAAGTGCCATCACTCGGACTGTACTATGGTCCGACGCAAAGAGATCAACCAATCTAGGAGCTCGACTGCGGCCCAAACACTAGCCATGACCTTGACTGTCATGTAAAGTTCCTGCTCAACTCCTGGGTTGATCTTCTTGTTGTACTCCCACACACGTGCCAGAACTTCGTCGGCTTCCTTACGTAGCAATTCTGACTCACGGATGAATGATCAGCTTGGTTGCTGCCCTGGGCCATGTGCCTGGGTGAAAGTTCTGCCTGGCCTGGGCCTGAGGTTTTGATATTTCTACCCTGGCGAGGCAGGCTCGCCCGATTGCTGTTTGGAACGTGACCTGAGCCTGGGAGGTCACTAGGGGATTAAAAAATTATAAAAGACTGATAACCTGCCCCAAACCTGCATGCAAACAACCGGATTAGTACCAGGCTAGTCACGCCGTCTCATCCAGGCAACCCAAAAGGGACGCCTGGCAGGCTAATTATTTGCCTGGGCAGTCCAGGCCAGACTTGCTCCAACTTTTTCAGGCCTTCAACCAAACAAAGACCAGGCAGCATCCAGGGAGGCTCCAGGCCAGGCATTTTCAAGCATGGAAGCGAACCAAACTAGCCCGGAATCCTCTCTAGTAGCTGATTCAAGGTCTAGAATTCTTCTGCCATGCTGTCGGGCTGGTGCGGAGAAGGGCCGAGACCGCGCCGCCGGAGACATAACGCGGGGCGCCGGCGGCAAAGTCCGGAGGCAGCGGCGGCCGGTGACCGCATCCTCGTAGTCAGGTAGCGCAGCGCCATGAGGTATGAAGCCCGAGATCGATCGATTGGGGTCGGTAGCGCCTAGGGTTTGGTTTCTTCTCTCTCGAAGATTCTTCCTACTCTTCCCCCCCCCCTCGGCCCCCTCGGCTTTGTATTATTCTCTTTTTGAAAGGTTTTTTTTGGTAAGGAAAAAAATGGCTATATGATTGTTCTTTTTTATTTAGGGAAGCTATACGATTGTTCTAAATCGAGCTTTTTTAGGTCTTTCCAAGTCTATAGGAAAATCAACTAAGATTCACAATATCAAAATATTTAATGTGGAATAGTATTTCATAATGAGTCTCATGAAACAATTATTTGTTATAGGTGTTGACATTTTTTCATATATAATTGGTCAAACTTAATTATGTTTGACTTAGAAGGAATCTGAAAAATCAATTATTTTGAGGAGAGAGCACAAAAGTAACCAACCTGTCTCGTTGGCATTGTAGAAAATCATCCATAACCAAACTTTAATCTTTGTAAGATTTTAGCTTTTCCGAGGGACTTGAATGATCCGTAGAAAACGAGTGAACGGCTAAAAACTATAACACCTGGGGCGACCCTTACAAAAAACACGTTTCATAACCATAAAAAAATTACCAATTGCGACGAATTACCACGAGAGTGGTGGTCTATTTTTAAGGGTCACTTCAATCGTGATAGTTTGTAGCTATTTACCCGTAGAAAACAAATGGTTTACATAGTTTCCCCATTCATGCTTCGCCGCTTGGTGTGTGCATGTGGTATCCCTCCGATCCATAGTTAGTTTCGCAGTTTTGAATTAAGCTAGTTCGATCTTATTCCAAAACTGGGAAGCTTATTTCTGAAACGGAGACGAAAGATTTGCCTCATTGATTAATTAAGAAAAAGAAAAAATACCCACTTAATTGACGAAAAACCGTGCGAAAACCGATCTGCGAAACTTATTTGGATCGAAGGGGGTAGCAGTGCCAGTATTTGCATTTGCCTGAAACGAAAACTCTCGTCACTTTATTTGCGCGGGACTGAATGTACTGGCCCGCCACAAAGTGTGAAGCAAAGCTGCATGTTTGAAGAACGAGCACGAGCACGACCAAGGCTACGACTTTACCAAATGCCAGTCATGCGGTAGGGACACGTCGACGGTCAATGGCCACGGCCCCTCTAATGATGTGCACACACGACCCGTGCCTCGTGCGGTCAGAGCAGAAACCACAGAATCTTTGGATCCGCACCTGCACCAAACAGACCGGCGACCTCCCTCTCCCGCCAAAACCACCCCGTCTCCTCCCTCCTTTCCTCGACACGACCGCCTCCTTTCTCCTTTGCGCTGCTCACCCCGCAGAACCGCCTCCGCCCTATGACAACCCTACCCTACCCCGTCGCCACCGAAAGGGCTCGGCCACGCCGTGGTACCTCGTGGCAGGCCTGTGCAGACCATTAAGAACGCCCTAATCCATGTCGCTAAGCGCACTAGGCCCTAGCTTTTGGAAGGGCTGGCTCGCCTCGGCGACGCCGACGGCAGTTGATCGTTACGAGACAAACGGTGGATTAGATTAGGCAACTTTGATTAGCCGCTCTAACCGAGGGACTAGTCCTCTATTTTGTTGCCACCAGAGCTTGACTCACCAGTGACCACTACACTCGTTGCAAGTACAGCACACTCACACTCGCCGGTCGCCACTCCAGCAGCTGACCACTGAGGCTGGGCTTGGCGAGCGAGCTGAGGGCGGAGGGCGGAGGCCGAGATGGCGACCGACGGCGTGTCGAGGCTGAGCGTGGGGGTGAGCGTCATGGTGGCGCTCAGCCTGGCCGTCTTCCTCACCATCGTCATCCTCCTCCTCGCCGACCTCTTCTGCTCCCACCTCCGCCGCCGCCGCCTCCGCGCGGACGCAATGGAGGCGCCGCCGCACAAATGGCCGAAGCGCGGCCACGGCGCCGCGGGGTCCCTGTCCCCGCCGCACGCCGCCGGCACGGCTGCCGACGACGCGTCCGTGGCCACCACGGCGACCACGGCCACCACCACGGCGCGCGAGGCGCTCACCAGCACCCCGCCCTTCTACTACGCGCACGGCGTCATGTGCGCGCCCACCCGCAAGGACCTGCTCCTCGCCATCCCCAGGCTGGAGGCCGCCGTGTGGAGGTGGTCGCCCGCGCGCCGCTCCTCGCCGCCGCGGTCGGACGAGCCCACCGCCCGCGGCTCCTCCTCCTCCTCCGCGCACAGCGACGGCCTCATGTACATCTCCAACCCAGTGTACGAGCGGGGCGCCCCCGCCGGGCACGAGCACGACACGCCGTTCGAGACGCCGGACGCATCGCCGTCGCGGTACGGGATTACAGAGGAAGTGCGGGGGGACGGGGCGTTCTCGCCGCCGCTGCCCATGATGAGGAAGCTGCCGCCGCTGGGCGTGCTGGCGTGCCCCCCGCCTGCGGTCTTCGACGGCCGGCCGCCGGTGACGTTGTGGCCCGGCACGGTCGCCGACGCCAATCGGGCCTCCTCGTCGTCGTCCAACTTCACCGCGCGCTTCTTCTCTTCCTAGTCGCCGGAGTAGCAGACCTCTTGTGATGCGGTAGAGTGTGGCTGAGTGATGTAGGCGCTAGGTAGATCTTGATCTTGATTCCATTCATCGTTTTGCTCGGGCTCCTCGGTTCTGTTGTTCGTTGGATTTGCTAGTTCTTGCACTTGTTTTTGCCAGGGGAGTGTACCCCACTTGATGATCTATGGCTAGATGATGCATCAGTGTCTGGTTGCAAAATCAACCTCGGTTCCATGTTTGATCCACACAAAACTCTCTACTCCCACTCTATGCCAAAATGCTAAAAAAATCAAGCGCGCGCTCTCTCTCTCTCTCTCTCTCTCTCTCTCTCTGTCTCTCTCTCTCTATCTCTCTCTCTGTCTTGGCAAAGGAAACCAAGTCCTGAATCAGAGCATCGAGTTGCGAAACGAGGCTTTGATGATTCCAATGATCAGTACTACTCACATTTCTTTCTTTTTTCTTGGACAAAGAAAGATAACAACTCTCCAATCAGGTCTACTGAAGATTAATTAGTATTTAGCGAGCGTTCTCCGGTTTGCACTGTTCTTCAGGGCTCAATAGTAGCTTTTGTTCTGAGCTGGTGTCAGAGAGAGAGAGAGAGAGTCCGAGGACTGATACAGTAGGAGCCGTTGTGGTGGTCAAGCTCGATCAGAGTTGCTGTTGCTTTGTCAGCGGAGTTTGGTATCCAATCCAGCGGAGTAAAACTGTTCCCTGACCGGGGGCAGTGTTAGCTTTACTCTGTGAAACACTCCTCTGAATAATAATGCATTGGTGAAAGAGAGGACTTGCTAATTCTCAAAATGTTCACCCTCCGTCGATCAAACAACTACTACACTTATCCCATTGGCCATTGGTCTCCCTGGAGTGTTCCACGGAAACCACGCACTGCGCAGTGCGTGCCCGTCGGCACGGCATATCTCGGGTCCTCGGAAAGGAGAGGCCGATCCAGGCGTAGACCACCATGGTGGCGTCCATCGGCGAGCGAGCGAGAGCTGTGGAAAGCCGTGAGGTGCAATTATTTAGCCGCACGAAAAGCCTGGGCGGACGTGCATGCATGCATGCTACACCTACGCCTTTGGCATTTTGGGGTTTGGCTTTCTTCCACTTCCACTGATCCACATCCACAGGCGGTCGCACGCAGGCGCCACGGGCACGCACGCGCCACACTTTGGCGAGGCCCGTGGCTCTTGACCCCCAAAAGTTGTCGCTGGCTTTACTGTGCGTTGCTGCGTAGAGGTAGGTAGTACGTGCCTTGGCACCTTCTCACTGAGCGACTTCTGTTCTGTTGCTCGCCTGCACCGCTTACGTTGTCAGTGGCTCAGTGCCACTGCCTATGTGCTCAGTTTTATAATGGCGCCGTGCGTGCCGACCGCGACGCCGCACGGTTTGCGTCGGACGACGTGTAGACGACGGTATTGGCAGCCTGTGATGTGCTCCTCTACGCGTGCCCAGCGACAACGAAAATTGGAGGGAAGCGTTTGGTAGGTTGTATATATCTAAGCGAGGCCTATTGGATCGAGTTTATTTAGACCATTTGAATGTCTGATCAGCATGAAGATCTTGGCGCGTAAGGAACTTAAAGCACCCATAAGCCTGACTCTAGCAAAAGAAACGTTCGGCATGCTACTTGTCGGTGTCAAAACCGGCGGATCTCGGATGGGGGGTCCCGAACTGTGCGTCTAGGCGGATGGTAACAGGAGACAAGGGACATGATGTTTTTACCCAGATTCGGGCCCTTTCGATGGAGGTAAAACCCTACTCCTGCTTGATTAATATTGATGATATGGGTAGTACAAGAGTAGATCTACCACGAGATCAGAGAGGCTAAACCCTAGAAGCTAGCCTATGGTATGATTGTTGTTCGTCCTACGAACTAAAACCCTCCGGTTTATAAAGACACCGGAGAGGGTTAGGGTTACACAGAGTCGGTTACAATGGGAGGAGATCTTCATATCGTATCGCCAAGCTTGCCTTCCACGCCAAGGAAAGTCCCATCCGGACACGGGACGAAGTCTTCAATCTTGTATCTTCATAGTCCAGGAGTCCGGCCAAAGGTCATAGTCCGGCTATCCGGACACCCCCTAATCCAGGACTCCCTCAGTAGCCCCTGAACCAGACTTCAGTGACGACGAGTCCGGCGCGCAGATTGTCTTCGGCATTGCAAGGCGGGTTCCTCCTCTGAATATTTCATAGAAGATTGTGAACACAAGGATAGTGTCCGGCTCTGCAAAATAAGTTCCACATACCACCGTAGAGAGAATAATATTTGTACAAATCTAATCAGCTGACGTATTCCGCATCGCGACATCATGCCACGGCCAAGCTTTTATTTAAACCGTTTTACTGTCCCACCTCAGCGCGTTTAGCGAGGTGGTTTCCTTGGCACATCTTGTCAAAGCAGAGATCGTGTCCCCTTATTCCGGGATTCTCATCAATACGGGCGTGGGTAACCCACCCATGCCATTAATCACGACGCTTGGGAGATAAGCGAGTTTTACCAGGCTGGTGGGGGCACATAGTTTCGTCCGCCCATATAAGGGGATAAGGATCCACCTCTTCCATCTACGCCTTCTTCCTCCTTTGCTTATCCATTTTCGCGCACTCGAGCTCCAGCGCCCAAGTCCGCACTTCCCACCTCGACCTTCTCCAGCCATGTCCGGAGCGGGAGGCAGGTGGATGGCCTCCACCGTCACGGAGGGGCACATCAAAAAGTTGAGGAAAGCCGGATACTTGTGCAACGACATTGCGTACCGGCTTCCAGATGAGGGGCAACTCATCCCCACCCCCAGGCCCCATGAGAGGGTGGTGTTCCTCCCCCATTCCCTCCGCGGACTGGGCTTCCCACTCCAACCATTTGTCCGGGGGATCATGTTCTACTATGGCCTGGATTTCCATGATCTGGCCCCGAACTCCATCCTCAACATCTCGGCATTTATCATCGTGTGCGAGGTCTTCCTCCGCATCAAGCCCCACTTCGGCTTATGGCTGAAGACCTTCAATTTCAAGCCGAAGGTTGTGGGCGGCCGGCAAGCGGAGTGCGGAGGCGCCATGGTGGGCAAGATGCCCAACGTCACATGGCTCGAGGGCTCCTTTGTGGAAACCATCAAAGGGTGGCAATCGGGGTGGTTCTACATCACCGAGCCGTGTGACCCTGAATGGGCAGGGCCCCCCGAATTCCAATCTGGCATCCCCACACGGCTCACCTCCTGGAAAGAAATGGGCCTGTCGTGGGGTAGTTCGGAAGAGGTGACCGGACTCCAAACCTGCGTCCAAAACCTGGTGGACAAGAAGGTTAAACTAGTCAACGTAGTCCAGGTCATGCTCTTCCGCCGGATCCTCTCGTGTCAACAACGGGCTTTTAACTTGTGGGAGTTCGACCCGACCCAGCACCAAACTTTGTCCAGGCTCTTTGACACAACGCACAAAGACGCCTGGAAGGTGCTATTCAAGGGCTTCGAGGTTCCCCCTCCCATTACCGAGGATCGCAGATTCTGCGCGAAGCGCCAAGCCAGCGCAGTAAGCTTGTTTTACCCTTTACAGGATACTTGTTTTTCGTAGTTTGACTCTATGCGGGATCTAAGCTCCCGCTCCTTTGACAGGACTGGAAGAGGACGTCCGTATAGATTGACTGTCCGGCTCCTTTGCCCGAAGGTCCAGCAGATGCACGCTTGGCGAAGCTGCTGGTCCCGGCACCTCACGTGGTGCCGGAGAAGAAGGCCAAGAAGAAGGCCACGGGAACTCGAAAGAGTTCCCGGCGCCTGGTGGTGTCGGATTCATCGCCCGACGATCCCGAAGCGCACTCCTCCCCCGAAGACGAGGAGGAGGAAGAAGAAGCCTCTCCCCATCCAACGGGGGGAGGAAAGAAAAGGAAGGCCGCCCCAACTGGGAAGGCTGGAGGGTCCAAGAAGGGAAATACCCTTCTTCCGGACTACTCCACCAGCGCCGACGACAGCGGAGAGGAGTGGCCATCCAGGGCCAAGCCCATGGCAAAATCGTAAGTAACCGGATACCAGAATAACTCATGGCGTTCCTTTATTGCACAGTATCTTCTGATGCCGAATATAATCATGAAGTCCGCCTAAGGCCCGGCTCGACTCTTCGTCGAGCGGCTTCCTGGATTCGTCGGATGTGAATAGTCTTTCACTCCCGACTGCTACCTCCCCTCGCCCTACGGACGATGCCGAGGTGGAGTCTCGAAAGGGGCCAGACCAGGAGGAGGTGGTCCTGGAGGCGCCACAAGGCGACCTCCCGGACTCCAGGCGCCAAGGGGACAAAACCCCAAGGGGCTCTAAGTCCGGCCCGGGGCCGGACACTGCACTGTAACCTTCAGTGGTTCCGGAGTCCGGCAGGCGGCCCCCTCGTAAGAAGGGCAAGCCTACGACGCCGGTGACCCCCATCCAACCGGAGGCACCGGACAATTTGCTGGAGGTGCTTAAAGGCGCCTCCATCGACGAGGAGCACCGCACTATTATGAGTGCGGTGATCCAGGAGGTTCAGTCCGCCAAGAGCAGGCTGACAGAAGCCTGTGCCAGCCTTCTAACAGGTTTTGAGGTATGTATTTAAGATATGTAAAAATATTACCGCATAGACAGTAGCCCCTGATGCTCAGTGTGGTGTTCGGAAAGAAAAGCCGGACTGAGGATCTAAAAAGATATACGCATGAGTCTAACATAAGTATGTCAATATGGGAATGCAGGCTGCGCTGCTGACCTCTGCCGCACTGACTGCGGAGGTCGATGCCTTGAAGCAGAGCCTCGAGCGGTCCGAGAACAAGCTCGGCCTTGCCAAGAAGCAGCTCGAGGACAAGGAAGGTAAGTAGTACCTTATGTAAGTATATTAAAATACCTGGTTGCAAATAGTGACAGGACCAACGTGAGTGTTACAGGGGCCACAACCGAGGTGGCGACCCTGAAGGAAGCGTTGTCCAAGGCCAAAGACAATGCAGTCGTGGAGCGCACTGAGCGAGAAAAGCAGGATGCGTGGGCGGAGGAGGTGCGGCAAGA